AAACATGCATGAAAGAAGAAAAAAAATCTTAATTCCCATGTAACACTAACTTGCCAACTGCAATAAAACCTAAACAACATATACAATAATTATCAAATTAATTCAAAAATAAAAAATAAAATTTACCCGATTGTTTATTTTCCGGCCTCATCTCTAAACCGCGCATTTTGTCTTTAGCCGCCAGCAGCCGGCGCTTTTTCTGCCTTTCTCTAGCCTTATGATTTTGAAACCAATAGAACACGTTTTTGCCTTCGATTTTTCCAAACTTTTTAAGTTTTGCGGTTATTTGTTGTATTTGTTGGGCCGAAGGCGTTTTAATCCCTTGTCGATACATTTCTTCTAAGGCTTGCACTTGCTCGCTAGTCGGGTTCCATCTCGAGCTCACTAATGGCGCCATGTTATTGCTTGTCATCTCTCTTTTACCTATATAATCATCTTAAAAATAATAAAACATAGTGAATAATTACCACCTTATCTAAAAAAATTTAATTAAAAAGAAGAAAAATAAAAGAAAACAAGTGGTTAATAATAATAATAAAAATAATTGGAGATTCATATATAGTAAGAGAATGCATACCTAGAGTTAGGGTTTTGTTCCATGTGGGGAGATTAATGTTGTGAGTGTAAAAACAAGGAGCTTGAAATGGGTTCGGGTCATGTATTCGGGTACGGGTCGAAATATTCGGGTCTTGGCCATTGTTGTTGTTACATTCTACAACCCACATAATTTGACTTGTGAGTGTGTGTGCTAGAGAAGTAGGGGATGATTTAAAGGAAGATTTGTTGAGTGGAAAAAAAATTAAGTAATAAAAAAAAAATGGTGGACTTTTGATGAATGAAATGACCTAACGTGGTACGTAGTTGAGTTATATATAGAAATAGGAGTTTGAATTAAAATAATGTAATAATAAAAAATATGTCAAAGGGAATTCTCTAGGCCCGAGATATGTATGTGTGTTTGGTTTTTATTTATTATTTATTTATTTATTTATTTAGTTTTTTATTTTTTTTTTCCTTTTGTGAGTTTTCA